GGGCATGACCCTTCTCCCCTCCTCCTCCAATCTCTTCTCTCTCTCTGCGAGCGCTATACGGCACGCCAATTTGCTATATACACTTGCAGCAGCAGTAGCCACTTTGATAAGAAACATCGATCACTTTGTGCCGCCGCGCATCGCTCGCCTCGCCGCCAAAGGCCCGACCCTGCTGTACGACCCGACCCGACCCCGGATGTAGTGCAACGACCCGGTAAAAAGTAAACAAATCCACGCTCTCGATGATGCTCGCTCCTGCCGAGTCGGGGGCTATGCGATGCGCCCGTACCAAGCACCTAGAGAGTGATGGAGTAGAGGCAGAGAGAGCAGACGCTCATCTGAAGCTCGGGGTGCGTGCCCACTGTCCTCGCGCACAATCACCATCATGTTGCTCTAAGGCGACCTTCACGACGGCGTGCACCAGATGCACCACCAGCTGCTGCTGCCTTCATCATCGTCATACCGACATGGTACACTTATACTCACTTGTTCGGCACGGCGCGTACTCGGAGAACTTGGAGAAGCCCTCGCGGGACACCCAGCAGGTGCCCACCGGGTCCTTGCGGTTCACGGCCTTGGCGAAGTAGACGTAGCGCGGGGCGCACGCCTGCAACAGGGGAGAAAGAAACATTAGCTTTGAACGCAAGGAATACAACGACAGCATGCAGCATGACAGGACTGCGAGCATCAAAGATGCATCGTTCGAGTTTGCCATATGGGATCGTCCAGAAAGTACGTCCGTTTCTCTCAGATTCATTCGGCAAAATATGGGAGCTCCGCGCCTGCGAGGCACAAGGTAGGCCACCCCGCAGTACACGGCTGCACTGTAGGCTGGATGTTGCCTACTGATCAGGCGCTATGGGACCTTGCATAGGCTTAACTAACTTAGCATGTTCGTAACGGCGATTAACGGACGGACTTTCTGGATAATCCCTATGCTAACGGAGTCTTTTGATTTCCCCGTGACTTCAGCATGACGAGTCCGAAGCACGACATTTTCCTGACCATCATTCAGGAACCCGACTTTAATGTTGCGTCGCTAACCCTATGGGGCAGGCCAAGGAAGGGGATTTGGGAGAGGTGGAGGTGGCCGGGGGCAAGGAATACTGGGGAGAAGGCTTTCAGGTTGAACGCGGCTAATTTTAGCCCCGGCTCAGGGGAGACACGACAGGGGGGCCGGGGGGCGTAAGGTGTTGGGAAGGGTGGCCGCGCCGCCGACGGCCGCATCCATGCTGAGAGGGTTCCACGTAGAGTTAGTGACAAGCCCAAGCACTACTTCGAACCACGCCCCGCACGCCCCGCGCGACACTACGGCACGACGACGACGGTGACCGGGCGGGGGGATTTGTGTCCTTTTGTCGAGCTTTTTCTGACTGCGACGCGGGCGTCGGGATGCATGCAAGTCCTCGAACAAGTCCCCCTCCCGCGCGGGCTGCTGCAAGAGCAAGGGGCCCGCCTGCGCCACTACTACAAGTACTGCATCGAGACGGGGGAGCAGCAGCGGGCAATAGGGAGCGGAGCTAAGTTTATTGCCTTTTGACTTTAGAAAATTTCTCTCATGGCGAGTTATTTTTCTTTGCCGCCCCTTCCGAACCACCAGGAGGGGGAGGAGGGCGGTGGCACGAGCCGAGTCCATATACCCGTGAACACACACGGCTCGTACAAACAAACACGTGCGTGGCGCACGCGCGCAGTGCCCCCCACCCGACAACCTCCCGCGCCCAGGTCAGACATCGGCCCCATCAGACGAAATCACTTTTCCGGCACGTTTTCCCCAGAGTGTTTTCCCGTTTTTTTACGGGACCGGAAGTGACACACCCCCTCTCTCCATACATTTGCCATCCTTTCGGTCATCGTAAAAGCGGCAAAAACCGTCTGGGTCGGTCGGTCGGGGCACACGCTGCTGGCAGAGCGGGCCGGCGGCGGGCGGCGGGGACCCTCCGAAGAGCGAGTCGCCGTCCGTCACCGCCTCGCGGCGCAAAACCAATCAATCAATTAACATTTTTGTGCGTCGATCAGCGAGACAATGCCCGCCGCACACACAAGGCACACACCCGACACACACGCACACCGGTTGGTGAGCTCGGCCTGGACGGGGCGGAAGTAGGGATTTAAAAGTCAGAAAGTGTTCACGAAAAAAAAATTCACAAAAGATGAAAATGTTTTCAGAAAAAAATAGAAAAAAATGGAACGTTTCGGGATAGAATTAAAATAAAAAAAATATTCTTGTAATTTCTTCCAAAAATGTTTTTACGGCATGTTTTAATTACTAGGCGGAAGATGCGCCACTCCGCGCTCGTCGACGCCATGCTGCTCCTAGGCCTTCACAGCTTCGGAGGACGAGGCTCAGATCTCGCTCAACTACCTCCTCCCACAACAATCTCGTCCAGCTCCCCCTGAACGAGTCCGCGTATGGCATGGCGCTTGGCGGCGTGGCCCACACCACCACACCGCGACCTCCTCACCTCCAGGAGGACAATGGCGTCAGAGACAATGGGCC